ATTATCCTCAGCTAAAGGACCAGGAAGATTGGAGTGAGCTCTAATATGGCCCACAAAGCATGGCAGCTTTCTTTTGTGGAATAGCGTCTTGGATTTGTTGAAACATTTTGACTGGATTGTTGTTAGTTCCAGTATTTTTACCAAAACTGTTACTATTCAGAAGAGTTAAGAACATAGATGTTCTTTCATGAAACATATCCTTCATTAGCTTACTCTGAGAAAAAGCATTTTCAGGATTTAGCATTTTCATTTTATTAGCTTTAACTACTGATGTTATTAGCAGCTGTGATATTTAGCATTGATTTCTTATAGGGAACTTTCAGGTGAAGTTTTTTTTTAAGACAGATTTTTCTGAAGTTTGTTTCCCATCTATAAAGCAGTCATTTCTTTTTTGAATGCCTGTTTCCTTGTCTCCTTATTAGATTTGCAAAGGAATTACTCATTGCAGGCAGTTTGTTCAAAAGGCAAAGAACTTTTTAAATTTCAACATAATTTTCTTCATATCTAAGACAACATTCAGTGTATAAACTGCTTTCTCTTACTTTCCTAAGGATTTTAAAGTGGCTTGTTTGCTCTTATAGGTAGCTTTTTGTCATCCAACTATCGTTAAAGACTTTGCACAGCTATTAGGGTAAATAAGGCATTTTACCAATGGAGCCCCAAACCTCGAAGCCCCTAGCTCTGTGTCCTTTCAATTTTTCATTGGAACTGACACTTAAACTCTTAGACGATTTTCCTCCTTATTCTTTTAAAAGCTGTATTTTAAAGTTTACCATGAACGTATTTTCGAGCTGACAAAAGTGTTTCAGGGCAATGTCGCCATCTTTAACGGAAAAACTACCTTTCCCAGAATGCATTTCCCTTATATCAGTCCATAACAATATCAGTCCCTTATATCAGTCCCTTATATCATTTCCCTTATATCAGTCATTTCCCATAGTTCTTTTTGGGTCTGAGAGTCAACTGGTTCTTTTACCAGACTCGCTTACAAATTCTTCCCCGGGAGGTTTGAACAAGGTTTTTTGCTTTTGCAACGGGAGATTTGAACAAGCATTTTACATTTTCAATTATGGGACATTGGGAGGGTTCTGGTCTCTCCTTAGCTGGCTTTAACAGGTGTCTCTCCTTTTGCCACTGGCTCCCAAATCAGAACCGCACCTGCCTCATTAGCCGACATTGAGGCTAGCATTTCTGATAGCAACTTTCCTAGGGGCTTGTGTTTGTCTTAGCCAGTTAGTGAAAAACGAGATCATGTACAACAGCTTTTCCATAGCTCTTTCAGAAAGATTTTCTCCCACTGATTTTATTCTCATTTTGCTTGTTCCTTCCCCCGCCAGATGCAGAGCTTCAGGTATCTGTCTGCAGCTCTGTACCTCTGCTAGCTGCCTTTGGAGGTAGGGGCTTTTTTTTCTCCCCACGAATCTGCCTCAAATTCTAGCAGCTTTTTCAGGTCACATATTTTCTGGGGAGGATTATGTCCCTTCTGTTTCTTCGGAGTCTTTTTCCCAGATAGTTCCCAGTTTGGTCTCAGTTTATCCCCTCTACCCCAGACTGAAGGTAGGGACTTTTTGTCTGTTTTCGGGGTCTGTGTGGTTTGCATATAGACTGAAACTCTAACAAGGGAGGTTTTTGCCATTTCTAAACTCCCATTAGGACAGATTTTTTGACTTATTAGGCCTTCACCTGGCCCAGTCCCCCAGTGGGTTGCATTTGTCTGGGTGCTCAAGGACAGTGCTTATGCCAGAGGCAATCACTCCTCAGGGCTACACTCCCTCATCTCAGGGAGTCAGTTGAAACAAAGCTTTTCTCAAAGAGGTGCTTTCTCTGACAGAAAAGAAAGCTTTACTCCTGGATAGTTCTGTTCTGCCCTGGCTGGGCTCTTTCCCCAGACAGCGTTCTGACTCAGCAGCACAACTGCTTCAGACATAGTTCAGCTTTACTGTTGTCCCAGAAAGGTCCTTACTCTGAAAGGAAAGCTTTTTCTCAGTTTTTTTTTTTCAGCTGTGGACCTATCAAACCGGGACTTGTAGGAAAGTGGACAACTGTGCCGTTCCCACTGGCTTTAGCTTTGTTCATTAGCAATCTTCCCCTGGGTCCTGCACCTTCCTGCCTCAGCTTTGTGCTCCTGGAAGTTTTCAACTGCAGGAACCCTAGTATCCCCGAAATGCACCCCAACTCAGAGATGCTGGCCAGTCACCTCTGGGTTTTTGGTCAGAAGCGAGGATACAATGCTAACAGTTTGCATTGCTTCAGGGGATCTTTGCATTAGGACGATTAGGAGCACCTTTTCATTCTGAAACGCTCACTCAGAAACAAAACCCTTGATGCCTCAGCTCAGGTGTAACTGAAAAGCTTGGCTTTTTTGCTTTTCTCAGGTAGTTTCCCGCCCTTTTGGGCTCTCTGTAGCTCTTTACCCACACTCTCCCAGGAGTTTCCCTCAGGATACTCTGACCCACTGTCTTTTACTAGCTTGAAGAGACAGAGCTTAGAAGAGGTTTTTAGGAACTTGTCCCTGCCTCCTGCATTGCAGGGAGGATTTTTAAGGCTTGAAAGTCAGAACTTAGGTTTTGCTGTCTTAAGAGGTTTCTTATTTTCCCTTAGAGCTAATCACAGGTGATCCCCATACTAATATCTTCAGGTGATTCTAATTTTTTGTCCTTCTGAGAAAGTTAAAGGCTTTAGTTTTCAAGTTTGAGAGCTTTTGAGAAAGATTAAGGCTTTTTAGAGAGTTTTTTTCCCCAAAATTTTCCAAGAAAAGCTTTTAGTTTAAAATAATTTTTTTCCGAGAGAAAGACCAACTTTTCCCAAAACTTCTCAACTTTAAACTTTGACTTCTTACACCCCCATTTTTGCCTCAGGGAGAAATTACTTTCTCTTGCCACTTGGACTTTGCATTTCAGCTGTCCCCAGGTCAAAAGCTTCCATAGGAAACTTTTTCTTCCCCATAAGCTCAAAGAAGAGTTTTACTACCCAAAAAGCCCAAAGAAAGACTTTTTCCCCAGTTTGCATTCAGAGCCCCCAAAGTTAGAAAATTGAAGAGTTTTTCCATCTAGTTGCCTTACTTATTTTTTCTACACAATCTTACACTTCTAAGTTTTTCCTAAACTATATTACTACGCTATACCTTATACTTATTTTTCACAGATAGAAATTGAGAAAGGGATAGAAGATAGAAAATTTTGACAGAAGAGAATTGCGCTGCAGCATCGCGGACATCCTTCCAGTCTGCTTTCCTTTTCTCTCGAGGATAAAACCCCTGACTCTCAATATATATAAAAATATATATTTTCCATAACACCGGCATGCCTTATCCACTGGCAGGGCTGAACTCAGCACTTTCGCCAAAAATTCTGTAATAAAACTATTATTTTCCTTTATCTTTAGTCCCTATTACTTTGTCTTTAGTCCCTGTTCATTTGTCTTTAGTCCCTTTTTTTTCTTTTTTCTTTAGTCCCTGTTCATGGCGCCATTCTGTGGGGCGTTTACCCACCACCCCCACAGTTCCCCAGAGTTTTCTTGAGTGCGAGCAGCAGGAAATATTAGGTAGAAGGATTTATCACGGAGATAAACAGATAGAAAATAAAGGATAGCGCCGGGCGGTGGTGGCGCACGCCTTTAATCCCAGCACTCGGGAGGCAGAGCCAGGCGGATCTCTGTGAGTTCAAGGCCAGCCTGGACTACCAAGTGAGTTCCAGGAAAGGCGCAAAGCTACACAGAGAAACCCTGTCTCGAAAATCCAAAAAAAAAAAAAAAAAAAAAAAAAAAGAAAATAAAGGATAGCCTCGAGAGGGCCTGGAACCTATTCCAACGGGCCCCGACTGTCTCTGCCCCAGGGTTTTTATAGAGACGCCAAGGGGTGGAGCAAAAGACCTCCTCCCCCAGCACAGCCAAGTGCAGACCATCCCAGACACCTGCACTCAGGCCCGTGGTCCTAATCATCCTCTATGCGGACCTGCTGGGTAAAGCCTCGAGGAACCCGAGAACGGGCTCCCACAACTTATTGTGTGTGTGGTTGAAGGACGCCATCACAGTGTGCATGTTATGGCCAGATGAGAATGTGCTAGAATCAGGTCTCCCTCTTCCAAGGTATGGGCTCGAAGGATGGATCCAGGTCCTCAGGCACCTTCACTGGCTGAGCCAATGATTTTAAAAAAAATTGACAATAGTTTTTTTCATATAATACATTCTGAGTACAGTCACCCCCACCCCCCAATTCCTCCCAGAGCCTCTCCACCCCACCCACCAACACACACAAGTCCACACCCTTTCTCTCTTTAGAAAACCAACAGGGATCTAAAAACAAAATAAGATAAAGTAAAAAGAAACAAACCAGAATAGAAGGGCCAAAGAAAAAAAACACAAGAAACACATAGAGATTTAGATACACACACATTTTCACGTACAGAAGTCTCATAAAAACACAAAATTGGAAACCATAGTATATGAGCAAAAGACTTGTAAAGGGAAAAAAAAAAGGCCAGACAAAAATCAAACAAACAAACAAAAAACTCACCAACAAAAACCCTCTAAAAATAGCAGTGAGTTCATCTTGTGTTGGCCGTTCTCTGCTGAGCGTGGGGCCTGCCCAAGTAAGAGCGGTTTGCATACCCAGCGAGACTCCATTGGAGAAAACTAGTTTTTCCTTTGCAAGCAGCTATCAGTCGGAGAGAGCTTCTGGGTTAGGGATGGGGGTCTGTGTCCACTCCCTCCCTCAGCACTGGGGTGGCTCAGACCTAAGCAGGTCCTGGGCATGCTGCCACAGTCTCTGCGGGTTCGTGCGTGCATCGGTCCTGCTGTGTGCAGAAGGCCTTGTTTCCTTGGTGTCCTCCATCCCCTCTGGCTCTTACAGTCTTCCCACCTCCCCAAGGTGGGGGATTTGATGGAGGCGTCCCCTTTGGGACTGAGTGTTGTGGTTCTTTGTGTTTGCTCCCATTACTGCAGGAGGAATGAGCCGAGATCGTTCTTAACCCCAGGAAACTGTAACTGTGTTCTTTGTGCAGGCTCGGCCAGTCGATTACCCCAAGGACTACCTCTCCCATCAGATTCCTATATCATTTCACAAACACTGGCACATTGACCCGGTGAAGGTGTATCTCACCTGGCTGGCGCCCAGCGAGGAAGACAACACCACATGGCAGACACAGAAGGATCCAAGAGAAGAATTATAGATGCAGAACCTGGGAGGAGCAGATGAAGAGATTCGCCCCATGGGCTGGGCTGTGGTTCGGCTGCTTGTGTAGGCCACAGGAAACAGACACTTCTCAGCCTTTGTGGAAAGAGGGTATTTCTTGATGGGTGGACTCATGGGGGAACCTGGGGAAAATCACTTGTTTTGATTGATGTTGTTATTGTAACACAGTGAGTACTGTGCCTTTTTTTTTTTTTTTTGGTCTGGGCTTTGTGACTGTCACAGGAAATAAATGGTACCGGAAGTCCTTTTCTGTTCTCTTCATTAGAGTGGAGATTCTAACACAAGACTCTGACTGACTGTTATGCTGTGTAAACATCGAGTCTTTTACATGGATTGCCAGTGGATGTACCTGTAAGCCAGCAGTTCTCAACCTGTGGGTTGTGACCCCTTTGGGGGTAAAGTGACCCTTTCACAAGACCACCAGAGAGCACAGATATTTACATTACAATTCGAAACAGTAGCAAAGTTACAGTTATGATGTACAAAAGATAATAGTGTGGCTGGGGGTCACCACAGCGTGAGGGATTATGAAAGGGTCACAGCAGTAGGGAGGTTGAGAACCACTGCTTTAAAGGGTCCTCCTATTGATGGTGGAAGTTAGTTTCCCGGGAACTCAGTAGGAATGAGATACTGAGGCTGATTCATAAAACGTAAAACTCAGTGTGAAATCCCCTGGCTGTACAGTCATGGCTGCTGTGTTTTACCTTCTCTAACGGCTGCACCCCAGAAACAGAGACTCAGGGCCCTCTGCTGAGGTTTCTGCTGCTTTTGAGGTGTGCATTGGTACCGTTCTCTCGGAAGCCGTCTGCTGTAGTGAGCGTACGGAGTGCCGCCAGGAGTTAGGATGCTGGGTCCTCAGGTCTCTTCAGTGTCAGCCAACCCTGTGGGAGTCCCAGGATATGAGCTGCGCCTGGAGGTGGTTAACTCTTGCTTTTCTGAGTGTTACATAGTAACTTGTTTCTGGCCCAGGAGAGACAGCCTCCACCCTGGTGGCTGCAGGGTTGACTCTCATAGAAGGGCAGCGTGGGGTTTGGCAATTTCCCTGGGTCCTTACAGAATGACATTGGAATAAAGTGTTTTGAAGCAGCCCTCATTTTCAAACCATACCTTTTAATGTGTAGTAATTTAACAATTCAGTATTAATGTATGAAAAAATGTTGTGTGTTGACATTTAAAGCGAGGTGATTTTGTTATCAAAATGTATTTGCACATGATTTGATCTCAAGCTCCTAAGTTTTGTAGATTGTAATGTTTCCCTTTATGTTTTCCTCTGCAGTTCATTAACCTTGCTTAGAAGGCTTCTAAACCCCATAGGTTCAAAGCCACACCACCAAAAGTCTTTGTGTGTTTATTTTTTTAACAATGTATTTTTTTCCCCATGTAGCTTACTTTTGACTCATGTCCAAATTCATGCAATACTATTTCTCCTTCTTTGCCAAATTCAGTTAAGTATCAGGACTAGTGTGTGGCAGTGCTGTGCTCTGGTGGATCACACTGGATTCAGTCTGTGAAAATGGATTTTGTGGTTCAGCCGGCAAGTGGACTGAGAACAGTCCAGTGAATGAAAAGGGCCGTAAGGGTTTCTGGGTGTCGTGCGGGTGGCTCCAGCATCCTTGCTATTACAGCTGTGAGTGTGGCCCTTGCTATCATAGCACTTACCTTTTTGACATTGCAGTAATGCCCTGGGGAACCAGTACAGTGCAGGGGAGCCTTCAATCCCCCTGACCCTCGCCTCTGCTCAAAGCCTTCAGTCCGCCCCTCCCCACCTCTGCTCATGAAGTGTTACCAGCCAGAGAACAGAGTTTCACTGAACAGGACGGAAGCCAGCATGTCTGAACATGAAGCCCTGTGTCAGCCTTTCCTCTCTGTTAGGATCTGGGCCTTCTGCTGGCTCTGGGGATCCTTCCCTGGCATTTTTAGATAACGTGGTTGAGTTTGTTTCTTTTTGGAAGTAGAGAAGCCTCACCATGAATAAAACATCTTCAGTTTACTTCCGATTCTGCATTTTATCTATTAGTTGAGACTGGAGAGAGGATGGGGAGGAGTGTGCAGGACAGGAATTGAGAAATTGGGAACACTCACAGGGCAGTAAAACAATCAATGCAAGCTAAAACACCTTAGGAAAAGGCAACTGAAATTAAAAACACGGTTTATAAAGATATTGTGCTTTGATATAGAGCAAATGACAGACCGACTATTTGCATACCAACTGAGAATTGATATCTTTTTTTTTTTTAAAAAAAGCCTTAATTTTTAGCCTGGATTTTTCAGGGCACATGCATCCTCTTCAATGTTCTCTTTCCCTTTAAGTAAGGGTTTCTTTACCAGTGGATATTTTTATCCCAAGGATTTAGCACCAAGGATTTATGTGTGGATTACCTGGTGGGGTCGTTTTTTACTTTTAAGCCGTTTCTCATGACCTAGCTCATTGCCCGACTGCGCAGGATTTCTTTACATTCTCACAACTAAATCAGAAGCCGAGACACAAAAATAACCTTTGTGGAATCCTTGGAAACATAATCGCGCGCCAGCCTGAGTAATGATGCTATGCAGGGGCGGGTAAATGCCAGTGTTCTCTGCGTGTCCTGATTGATTGAAGACATTCAGTACGCCTGCATCCATCATTGTTATGGATGTGTATGGAGGACCTCAGAGACTCACAACACAGTAGACATTTGTAAGGATGCCTGTGGTGCTTGCATTCATGGGGACGTTGTTTCTGTGGAAGAAGATCAATCAATTCGTCGTTAAGTACACTAAACAGACTTACAAGGGTGCCCTTGCCCCCATTCACTGCTTCGCTCCTGCCATCTCTGAATAACTGGCATGAAAAGGTGCTATTGTTTACGTCCCCGAGCCCTCTAAACAAGTCACCTGCAGAATGTGTTTTCCTCCTTTCTATAGAATAAAATAAAAAAGCCTTTGTTTATCGTCTGGTTTGGCCCGTGTTCTCTCTTTAAAGGCAGGGGAGGGGGATTTTCAGGAATAAGGTACAGAGACAAAAAGCTGGCTTCTGATATAATCACAGCAGCGCAGTACTGGTGGCCAGAGCTGCAGAAGGCTGGCTGAGGCTTGGGGACTTCTTCATAGGGGACTAGTCAGAGGGCCTGTCTGAGAAGGTGATTTGGGGGTGAAGATCCGAAAGACTAAGAAGGCTGAAATTTAGCTAGTGGCTATGGGGTTCAAAGCCAGAGGGGCTAGCCATGGCAATGGCCTCCAACATGAAAGCAAGTGGGGACTGTTCCTCAGCCACCACTGAGCCATGAAGTGCCAGTGATGGGCAGCAAGCAGCTGGGTGTGGAAGTCTGGGGCTCGGTGACGTCAGGGCTTTCATACTGAAGTTAGGTGTAGATGTGTGTCTGTCTTTGTGTGGGTATGTGCATGTGAGTGTAGTGCTCATGATGGCCAAAGGTTTCAGATCCCCTGGAGCTGGAGTTACAGACAGTTAGGCGCCTCCTGGCATGAGTGCTGGGAACTGAACTCAGGTCGTCTGGAAGAGCGGCCAGTGCTGTTAACCCCTGAGCCATCTCTCCAGCCCTACCATGAGCATTTCAAAGGCCTCACCATCTCAGGAGTGGGTAGAACGAGCTGCAGAGGAAGCAGAGTGAAGGGAAGAGACAGCCTGTGAAGGGACACATTGATGTGTGTTCCTAAGGGGTGTGCGCTGGATGCCAGGGGTGTGTGGTAAGGGAAGCCAGGGGAGGTATTTCAAGAAGCAAATGTTCCATTGTATTCAAACTGCCGAGAGGTCCATTAAGAGGGGACAGAAGTGACCGTATGATTCAGTGGCTTGGAAGTCACAAGTACAAGTTGAAGTTGGAAACAACTGTGGTAAACCCCTCCCTCCCTCTCCGTCTCTGTCTCTGTCCTCCCCCCCCAACACACACAGAGTTCTGAGTTTGTTCAAAGTCAAGGGGAGGAAGACAGCTTGAGACTTGGGGTTTGTGGAGTTTGGCTTTCATGATGGAAAATTCTGGAACTGTCCATGTGAGGACAGTGTCCCTGCAGAGAGTGAGGTCGACTTCCCTGGCCATGTTAGTGAATGGAGCTGGGATTCATGGCTCTGTGTTTGTGGGGGATCTGGCTGCCTAGGAGAATCTGCTGAACAGTGAAGAGTTGAGGCAGATAGACTTACTGCAGTGAACATGTGGATCGTTACACATCTGCTCATGTCAATCCCATTTGAGACAGGCCTCTGTTGTGTTTAATTTTATAACGTGTGATTTTCTGTAAAGCAGCCTCATGAGTTACAATAAGGAAAACTCCCTATATCACGATGCCTTAACATATCACAGGCATGCCTTGAGCAGCAAGTGCTAGGACTAGATTTTAATTAATTTTTATCTTGTGTGGATATGAGTGCTTTGCCTACATGTATGTCTATGTACCGCATGTGTGCCTGGTGCCTGAGAAGGCCAAAAGAGGCCATCGGATCCCCTGGAGCTGGAGTCACAGCTGATTGTGGGTGCTGGGAATTGAACCCAGGTCCTCTGCAAGAGCAGCCAGTGCTCTAACCACTGGGCCATCTCTCCAGGCCCAGAGCTAGAGTTTTGAACTGAGGCAGGCATTTTGGCTCCAGAGTATGTATGTTTAATTCCTCCTGCAGTTTACCCAGAACATGTAGACTTTCCAGACTGAATGTATGAGGAAGAGAGCACAAGTTAACCATATAATAGACCCACAGACTAGAGCTGATTAAGCAAAATATGATTATTTATTGAATGAGTTATAGGGCTAATACGTGCTGTCAGATTAAGAAAATAAGAAACAAGATACTTGAGAATATTAAGCATTCGGACTGCCACCGTGGAAAAGACACCCTGGTGGTGGGGAATGCGTTTGTCCCCCTTGACTTCACAGTTTTACTCAGTGTGTGCCTCAGTGAACTCACATCTGGCCACCAGGAAGCACCTGAGTCTTCTCAGTGGCACTGGCTGTTTCTCAGGCTGGAAGCTGTGTCCAGCCTATGTGTCTATTGCTTAAAGAATAGGTAAATAAACTTGCGGCATGTCTTTATGACGCCTGCACATCTTTACAGGGCAGTAGCTCATATGAGTGGCCTACAGGTACAGGAGCCATCACAGCGTAGGTCAAAGTACACCATCAAAGGGTAAGGCTTCCATGGGATTTCAGCGATGTGATTTGAAAGTCACAAAAATGAAAAAAAATGAACGTGGTGGTACATGCAATATATATATGTATATATGTATACATACACACACACACACACACACACACACACACATATATATATATATATATATATATATATATATATATATCGCAAACATACACAGAGTTCAAGATACTGGTTGCCTAAAGGGAAAAGAAAGGGAGAAAAACTAAGCACTGAGGGACACGAAGTGGGCGCAAAGGGAATGCTTTTCTAGTTGTTATACGTGTTGGTATATACATCAGTTACTTTTCTGTTGCTGTGATAAAATCCCACAACCAAAAGTGATTTCTGGAAGAAAGTTTATTTGGCCTTACGGCTCCAAAGGGAGAGTCCACAGCTGTGTGGGCAGCAGGCAGCCAGAGCAGAAAGCTGAGATCACATCCTCAACAGCAAAATGCAAAGCGGTGAGAGTGAACTGGGAGTGAGGCCAAGCTATCCACCCTCATCACGTTATCCTAGTCCCTAACTCCAGCAGACATTCCCTGGGAACCCACCACCCAAGCAGTCAGTTAAACAAATAGGCCAGCAAAGCAGGTAGGCAAGCTTCAGACCTTCATTTTCCCTCCTCTCCCCCAGATCCAATCCCCGCAGTGTGGTGGTTTGAAAGAAAATGGCCCCCAAAGGGAATGGCACTATTAGGAGGTGTGGCTTTGTTGGAGTGGGTGTGGCACTATTGGAGGAAGTATGTCACTGCGAGGGTAGACTTTGAGGTCTCCTGTGCTCAAAATACCACCCAGTGTCTCAGACCACTTCCTGTTGCCTGCAAGATGTAGGACTCTCAGCCACTTCTCCAGCACTATGTCTGCCAGCACAATGCCATGTCCCACTGTGATGATAATGGACTGAACTTCTAAACTGTAAGCCACTCAAATTAAATGTGTTCCTTTATAAGAGCTGCAGTGGTCGTGGTGTCTCTTCACAGCAATAGGAACCCTAACTAAGACACCCAGTCTCATCCTGAAGTCTATAGCAGATTACCTATTGTGGCCTCTTCTCACTCTCTATACCATTAGACTGGACCAGAAGAGAAAGTTCCCTCAGCACATAACAATCAAAACACTAAATGTACCGAACAAAAAAACAATATTAAAAGCCACAAGAGAATAAGACCAAGTGACATATAAAGGCAGACTTTCTAGCATTACACCTGACTTCTCAAAGGAGACTCTAAAAGCCAGAAGGGCCTGGACAGATGTGCTGCAGACTCTAAGAAACCGTAGATGTCAGACAAGAATACTATACCCAGCAAAACTTTCAATCACATAGGTGAAAGAAAACAGGGCATTCCATGATAAAACCAAATTTAAGCAGTATCTACAAATCCAGCCCTAAAGAAGGCACTAGAAGAAAAACTCCAGCCTAAAGAGGTTAAACACATCCGAGAAAACACAAGAAATAAATAATCCCAGACAAGCAAATCAAAAGAGGACACACACACACACACACACACACACACACACACACACACACACACACTCCACCACCACCACCATCAAATCCATCAACAACAACAATAAAATAACAGGAATCAACAAATACTGTTCATTGTTCTCTCTCAATATTAATGGTCTCAACTCCCCAGTAAAGACACAGACTTACAGAATGGATGTGAAAACAGGACTGATCCTTCTGGTGCATCCGAGAAACACACCCCAACATCAAGGATAGACATCACCTCAGAGTAAAAGGATGGAAAAAGATAGTCTAAGCAAGTGGACCTAAGTAAAGAAGGCTGGTGTAGCCATTTTTAATATCTGACAAATAGACTTCAAACCAAAATTAATCAGAAGAGATAGGGAAGGACACTACATACTCATCAAAGGAAAAATCCACCAAGAGGACATTGCAGTTCTTAACATCCATGCACCAAACACAAGGGTACCTGAGTCCATAAAAGAAACGCTACTACAGCTTAAATCACAGATTGACAGTGGGAGAAGTCAGTACCCCGCTCCCGATAAAAGACAGGTCATCTAGACAAAAATGTAAATGTAAACACCAAGTTGACCACAAGCTTTTTGATCGACAGTGGTGTCCTGCTTGTAAGATATGCTAGAGGGATAGTGGCACAAAGCTTGGGAATAACCAATCATAACTGGTCTTACTTAAGGCTCGTTCCAGGAGATGGAACCCACATGCAACAAAGCTTGGGTGACCAAGAACCTGAGACTAGAAAGCCCAGAGACCTAGGGTAAAACCAAATACTACTGTTCTAAACAAACAAACAAACAAATAAGCAAACCATAGCAACAAAATGACTCCTAATGACATTCTTCTATGCCCACAGATCAGGGCCTTTTCCAGCCATCATCAGAGAAACTTCCTCCTGCAGCAGATGGGAACAAATACAGAGACCCACAGTCAGAAATTATGCAAAGAATGAGAGACCTTGAAACACTCAGCCCTAATGGGATGTCTCCGTCAAATCCCCCCTCCCCTCCAGGACTCAGGAAACCCTGGAAGAGGAGGCATAAAAAGTATAAGAGCCAGAGGGGATGGTGACACCAAGAAATCAAAGTCCTCTAAATCTGTAGGATTGATGCACGTAGGAATTCACAGAGACTGGGGTAGCATGCACAGGGCCTGCACAGGTCTGTACTAAATGGGATCCTAGAGCTGAAAGAAGTGGACACATGCCTCCATCCCTAACCTAGAAGCAATCTGCAATTGATAACCACTTAAAAATGAAATTTTCCATCAAGGGGTTCTACTGGGAAAACAAACTACTCGTAAGAGTAGGCCGAATGTCCAGTAGTAG